GGGGAAGGGATTGGGATCCTGGGCTGATCCCACAGCCTGAGCAGGGGAAGGGATTGGGATCCTGGGCTGATCCCACAGCCTGGGCACAGGGAAGGGATTGGGATCCCGGGCTGATCCCACAGCCTGAGCAGCAGGGGAGGGATTGGGATTTTACCCCTGTGCCCCCACCGTCAGAGCTGCCTCAGCAGAAGGAGCTGGAGCTGCTGAGAGAGCCCAGAGCAGAACCCGGAGCTGCTGCAAGGGATGGAGCCTCTGGAGCCGGGCTGGGAGAGCTGGGGGGGCTCACCTGGAGAAGGGAAGGATCCAGGAACAGCTCAGAGCCCCTTTTGGGGCCTGAAGGGGCTCCAGGAGAGCTGGAGAGGGACTGGGGACAAGGGATGGAGGGACAGGACACAGGGAATGGGGTCACACTGCCAGAGTGGGTTTAGATTTGGTTTTAGGGCAGGAATTGTTCCCTGTAGGATGGGGAGCCTGGCACAGGGTGGGCTCTGAGCCCAGAGGAGCAGAGCAGGAGCTCAGTGCAGTCTCCAGGCTGTGAACTGAGCCTGATCTCCCCCAGGCAGAGTTTGCTGCAACAAATCCCAGGGATTTCCATCCCACCCCACAAATATCACACACAGGGAATTCCAGCTGCTCCTGACAATTCCCATGTGTGTGTCACAGCAGCAGGGCCACAGGGCAGCAATTCCAGCTGGGTGGCTGCCCGAGCTGTAAAGCAGCAATTCCTGAATCAACACAGCTTTTGCAGTTCAGCCCCAGCTTAAAAACAGAGCAACAAGGAAATATTTCATTGTATATAGAAAAAATCTGATCTGAAAAGCGACAAAGTGCAGCAGAGCCCCAAACACAAACCCAGGCAGAGCTACAGCTCCATTTGGACTGGAATATTTCAATTTTGCTTTTGCTCCTCGCTGTTTGCAGCTCTGTCACACTCCAGCCCCTGGGCTAAGCTCAGCTCTGACCTTTAAAAGCTCTGTGTTTACAAAGCCAGACTCAAATGTTTGCTGGTTGGTGGAAAAGCTTTGACCCTTTTGGTCTCTGCCCCACAAGTCACAATCAGAGTTTTTGCAGAGTCTGAAAAGGTTCTCTGTGACACGTTGAAATTTCCTGCAGAGTTCATTGAATATCTGGGGAGGCATAACACACCAATGTGCTTTTCCAGAAATAAAAACATTTTTGTCAAAAAGCTTTCATTTTGAAAAATAAAAAAAAAAACCATTTATTTAACATTTTTTAACATTAACGTTGAAAAAAATAAAAACATTTTTTCAAAAAGCTTTGGAAAGCTTTTTAGCCCTGAGCACTCTGTTCACAGACACCTGAGTGTTTTACTAAGTCCACCCTCCATCAGCAAAATAATTATGCAAAAG